TTAATTTATAGCAAATGTAATTTTTCAGGACCAGAAACTTGTGTCACCTAGCTTAAGCTTTTTGCGAAGTTGTGAAAATGTCTTAATGCACGTATTTGCTTCACTTCCCGCATATTTTTTAAAATATAATCTATAAACCTGATCAGTGGGTGACTAAATATTTCTCCTTTGCCCAACAACATAGCAAATATCAACTTCTCATTTCAATATTCTCGTTGTAGGATCGGCCATGATAACAAGGGTGGTTTCGCCGGTTGGTTCCTGGACAAGGTGATAGTGGATGCCCCCTCGCTGGGTCAGAGAGTGGTGTTCCCCTGTGGCCGGTGGCTCGACAAAGACAAAGATGACGGACAGTTGGAGAGAGAGCTCTTTCCTGGTGTGGACACAGAGGAAGCTTATGTGCCATGTAAGGACATTAGTTTTAGGTAGATTGAAAGGTTTCCATTTGAGAAAGACGTATAAGTAGTGAGCAGAGGATTGGACAAAAAGTTCAAAAACAACAGGACGGCCCCCCTCTCCACCCCCCCCCCCCAACCAGGAAAAGGGGCGATTAAATAACTTCCAGTCTCCTTTCCTTACTAGACTTTCTTTCAGCCCCTCTCCAACAGAAAACTCCAGACCTTTTTTGAGACTTTTTAATTTGCCTCTGAAATAGATTTTATCAAGTTTTTCCCACGGCCTTCTTCTTTCTAAAGTGTTCAGAAATAAATTGATGATTGCAATAACCGTAAAAACTTGATGGGACTTGTGATAAGCACATAAATTCATGCAGTTTTGTCGGGGAACGTCACCTGCCATCATAAATGTATGCAAGCATTACGTAACCTTAATAAATGTATGTATTGGCCTGGAAATTTATGGGTATAGATTAGTCAATGTGTGCATAATGTATAATGTATGCATTACCGTGGTAAATTAACATGTGTATTTATCTTTGTAATTGTGGTTACTAACTTTCCTAATAATAAATGTATGTATTGGCTAGTAAATTTATGGATATGCATTAGTCAATGTGTGCATAATGTACAATGTATGCATTACCGTAGTAAATTAACATGTGTATTTATCTTTGTAATTGTGGTTACTAACTTTCCCAGACGTCCCATATGAGGTGACAGTGTACACGACTGACATGATGGGAGCCGGTACTTCAGCACGTGTATACATTGTGTTGTATGGATCTGATGGTTGCACTGAAGAGGTGCTCTTGGCAGACACGTCAAAGAAGCAGAAGGACTCCTTCAAGAGAGGCTCAGTTGATCAGTTCGTCAAGGAGGTGGGTCTCTTCTAAACACAGCCACTGTTTCCGTCACAGCTGTTTTTGTTGTTGTTGTTGTATTGCAAGATGAGAGTAAGAGCCTAAAAGCAAACTAAGTGATTGTGCTGAGCCATCAGTGGTGGAAAATGGGGTGGGGGTGGGGGTGGGGGAGAGCACTACGAGAACTCAAAGAAAACCACAGCAATTTAGCAATATTGTGATTTGAACGCGGCAAACAGGGGTCAAAAGAGCAACAACCATTGCTTACTCCTAGTGCTCAAGGGTTTCATAGCATGAAGTAACTGAAGAGTATTTTTACTTCTCCTGAATGGATGCTTGTCCAGTGCGGTTTCTTTTCCTTCTTTCTCTCTATTGATAACGTTCGGTAATTGATTTTACATTTATTTCGTTATCCCGTCATCATAATTAATAGAGGGAAATGGCTATGAAACCTGACAGAGTGCTTTGTTGTGTGTTTTGTTCTCTTTTTTGGTCTTGACCTTACACAAAACACAATAGTTCTTTACTTCTTTATTCTCAGGAACTAACCATTCGAAACGTTTTGGTTGCGTAATTCATGCATAGTGTATAAGCGAAAAACAAAAGATTGTACACGGTCGTGGACCTTACAACAGAAATCTGGACATCTTTGCTTGCTCCTTTGATGTTTGCCCAGTTTCATAACCATTCCAATTGTTTTTTTTGTTTGTTTTTTTTCAGCTTGATAATGTAGGCGACGTGATCGAAAAGATCCGAATCGGTCACGACAATAAAGGTATGACTCCAGGCTGGCATCTTGACAAAGTCGAGGTGCGGCGCTTGAAAGAAGACGGTGAAACCTCGACCACATACACATTCCCCTGCAAGCGGTGGCTGGCCAAGGACGAAGACGATGGCTCTGTTGTACGAGAGCTTGTCCCTGAAAAGGTGATTGAAGAATCAGTGACAGAGGACGGAGAAGTGGAGACCAAAGAAGTCGCTCAGGAAACACTGGAACGTAAGTATGCTTGAGGCAGTGTCGAAGCGAAAATTCTCCCCACCGAACTTGAAATACTTCTTGTAGTATTAGTTGGGAGAAGTTATTAAGACTGGAGACACGTTGACTGTTTTCTCTTTTCTTATTACTGATATGCTTATTTATGATCCACTGTTCTCCGGACAAACTTCATCCTGATCACTCTTAAGGTTTAAAGGGTTCTCGCCAGCTGCCTCAGTCATGTTTGAACTTTTGAGAAAATGGAGTGGAAATTGTTCAAATCGTTGTCCGTCTTAGTATTCCTCGATCGTTATTCTACCTTGCTAAACTTTTGTCGTCGGGGTAATCTTCTCATCGCGAAAACATGACTTGGTATCTTGTGGCGCAGCTTCGTTTTAAGTTTAATATTTTGAGTTTCATTTGCAGTTCGAAAGTACAAAGTCCACGTCTTCACCGGTGACGTCAAAGGCGCGGGAACAGATGCCAACGTATTCATTACCATATATGGGGAATACGGAGACTCGGGCGAGAGACAGCTTGGCAAGTCAGAGACATACAGCAACAAGTTTGAAAGAGGAAATGTGAGTGTCCAGCTTGCTGCTGTGTTTTTGCCAGAGTTTCATTTATCATAAGGAACACCGTTTCAACAACCAGCTGTATAGCAGTCACTTGCTTTTTGTGGGCGCGAAAGTTACGTTAGCTTCGTCTCGTTCCTTAACGGCCCATTAACCGATTCATGCGCGCGCTCGCGCGCGATGCTAAGGAGGTGAGATTTCACTTCCGGTTACTTACGTCAGCCTGAGCGCGGAAAATAATAACAACTCAAAAGCTTGCAAATTCGCTTACATTTGAGATGTTTTTGTGTTTCACAAAACGCAAAGTAAAAAAAGTACGGGCAAAGACAAAATAAGAGAAAGACAGAAAAACAAGAGCAATGGAAACAGAAAAACTAACTCCGTGTGGCTTTGTCTGATCTACCGAAGTGCGCTGGTAGTGTAAATTGCGCACGCGCTGACAGGGTGACTTCCAATAGATATCGGGCGCACTTCCGGTTTCTTTAAATGCTAAAGGAAACGCGGCTTTTCATTAAATCGAGCCTTTTTTTTGACGAATTTCGATTAAAACCAACTTTGGAAACATAGCTATGCATTCCTTTTTCGAAATCATGCTTTTTACAGAAAATTGCGAATTTTTCAATATTTTGAAATGCTCTCAAAATCTGACCTTGTAGAAATGAAACAAAATCGATGCATAGCGTAATGA